ATATATATATATATATATATATATATATATATATATATATATATATATATATAACATTACAAGAACATAGTCGACAATTAAAACGAAATACCCTTCTGCACTGCACCTTCAAAATTTCATTTTTCATATTCTTCTCCGCACAGTCACAAAATCAAGCATGAGGTAGTGAAATGTGCACATTTATAAAATACCGACGGTGATAGTGATCGCGGTGATAGCTGCAATCACAATTGTCATTATCATTACTTTTTGTTGCCGTTGTAGTGGAAAATGCAGAACATAGCATGACTTTGCGCCAGTTGAAGCGATAAAAACGCAGTACCCCTCCGCAAGGTTACCGGTATGTCCTGAGCTCGAGCAGCATCTATTGCTTTCTATAATCATTAGTAGTATTCATAGATATCTATTAACTCTGCTTTGCATTGTAACGCACACAGGACGCCAAACATTACATATCCTGCTAATAACATGAAACTTAAAAAAGGCGTCTACAAGTAAACGAATAAATACTCCGAAATATTTGTTGCAAACTCGGGGCGGAACATTGACTGCATGGTGTCCAAATACTAAAATAGTCGTAACTCATGCTATTACAGTCAACAAATATCAGTGACCACAAGTATAATTATGCATATACATGAATATGTGTCTCCAGCCCCGTAGATGGTTTTTAACGTGTCGCTAATTGAACTTCAGTGGTCTCGATCGTTGTAAGTATATTATGAAACTACACATTAACGGTATAATTGTAATGGGACAACGAGCAAACTGGACTTTGCGCGCGCTTGTGTGTCTATGTATATATCTGTCTTTGAAGAAATATCTACACACTACATGCGTAATATTTCATTGCATAAAACCAATATTCCAGACTAAGAGTGTACAGTTAAGTATAAAAATGAAACACATCCACTTACCAGGCCATGCTCCAAGGACGTTAAAGGGTTAGCAAGGAAATACTGTGAAAATCCAGTAAAAACATCTTAAAACAAATGCAAAATAAACAAAAAAACCATAGGACTTAAAACGACTCTCAATCCGTTATTTTCACGGTAGCGAATACAGTGCGGTCGCTCGTGCCGAATTTATCTCATACGGACGAGAATCAGTGATGGAGATACCATATTAAATTAGCGCAGTAATTAATGCATTCGTGGGGAAATTCATGTACTTTAATCTAATATGCTTTTTCTCCTGCCGTACAATAATTTCTAATAAGGAACGCGCATCGGCACTTGGCGTTGCGAAATTTGTGATCTACATGCTGATGGAGAGCCGTCGCTCCCCGGACTGTGTGGACCGTAAGGTGGTAACGGCACGCGAGCGGACGCTGATGCGAAGGGGGGTCGGGGCCGTGCGGCTGATGCCCCCCCACTCTGCCTCTACATTGTCTTTCCGTAGACATAGACTACATCACGTCCTGCAGTTAACCTCAAAGGGAGTGGGTGAGTTGCCGGGGTGTTTTAGGGGGTGAAACAGAAGAGAGTCAATTAATAAAAATATGGGTGGGTAATGACGGAATGTGAATGCAATAGTTTTTGACCATGCAGGGTAAATACAACAAGGATGTCTATCAGAACCGATACTAATGGTATTTTTTTCTTATTTTGTAATCACACCAAAAATGATTAATTAAAACAATGTCATTAATTAAAAAACAACAATTGAAACAATAAAACAATATATGTACGGTTTTTTAGGTGAAAAGTATACTGCTGCACATGAATTACTGTGAGTTTCCAATGAGCAAATTACAATTAACTACTCTTTACTGTTCTCTGTATCCATTTGGTTGACAGATGCTTTATGTTGCATGCATTAGGTGCATTCTCCAGTAATGTACACAAAGAGCCCATAATATAAAGAGGCAAATAGCATCCTTATGTAAGTATATGAGTGCTATTACTGGTAGTGCCTAATCCATAATCTAATCTGCAGAGTAGCATAAATTTAATTTGCCTATTTTCGTGTTGATATTTTTGGGAATTCGGTATCATCATTCCAGTAACTTGAAATTTTGATAACTGAGTAATTAAGGACTTATTGGACGTACTGAAGAGGAAGAAATAGTAATAAATAACAAATAAAACATTTTGCCTGAGAGTCAAGTCTTAATATTTTCCGTCAATTATAAAAATAATTATGTATTAATACACATGGTATTAACCTCGAAAGTCAATATCAAAATAATCCATCAGTACCACATATATCAATAAGGATCCAATTCTGTAAAAGATGGAGACATGTGGAGAAAGCATGTTATATTGAAATGCTAATTTAATTTTAGCTTTATGGAATTGATGATAATTTATCATGTCCGATTATTATTATTTTTTTATTCTGGAGAATCTCTTAGCACAGGAGCACCTTTAATAATATGGATTTGGGGAATTTTAGCGTAGGCTGTGGGAGTCTATCATATGCATTAAGCTTATCCTTACTGGCATGTTTATTATTTTGAGCAGAAGATCCATTCAGTTTTATTATTTCACTCACTTAACTGCTGCATATGCATTAGACTGATATACACTGGATTTTTGTTTTATTTTATGTTTACCTTTACATTTTGTTCTTCATGTTGTGTTCCTTCTCTGCAGGTTAGCCACTAATGCTTGATTCCATTAATTATGGAGTAGATGCACATACAGCTGGGTTCTCGGCCATCAATAAAACATCAACTTTCATTACACAAAAGGAAAAGGAAGGTGGAATTGATTTGTGACATTTATCGCTCAATCTGGTTTACTTGCTCTCAAAACCTTCAAGTAGCTTCTTTGGACTTTTTTTGAATTTCGTTTAGAAACGTAAGGAAATATATTGTATATTATGCAATGGAACAAGCCGGACCTTGATTAGCTTCGTAAGAATTGGACTGTTCGCCCTCTTTTGAATTCAGTAACAACTTAGAAAGAAGCCGGAATTCCCAAAATCATGCTGGGCTTAGTGAGAAAATGGCACTTCTGTCAGAAGTGGAGTCATTTGAAAAATCATTCAGTTATGATATATGCCCTTATTTGGGTGGGAGGGGAGTGTATTTGACCTTTTGAATGCTGGAAGTATATTGATAATCCAAGAACTAGACACTTTAAAGCAGTTCTCTGGCAGTGATAAAGGGACGGCTGGAGCAAAGTTGGCCACCTCCCTGACAAGACTACATGTGCCTCAGTGCAGTGATTGGCCCTGTGATTGGGAAACTTCAGGATGTTAGTGAGGTAAGTTGCACTCTCTTGTGGTCAAGCAAAACCTTCACAACGTAGTATATTGATTTCTGCTTATAGTGATAAGTGGTATATCAGTGCATTAAACTTCTGATTTGCAATGGCCATTAAAGGAGTAAACAAGTATACTGGTAATGTCAAATGGAGGCCAAATGGAATATAATATATTTAGTTTATGGGGTGGGGTATGTTCTTTTTGACAGCAACAGCAATTTCTGTCTCGTTGTGACCTTGAAATTCCTAGCCTTTGGTAATTACAATACAATAGATAATTTAATGCAATACCCCAACACCTTAGTCTGGACCAGGGGTAGGAAATCCTACCCAGAAAGGGCTGTTGTGTGTGCAGGTTTTTGCTGTAACTCTCTAATTAGACTACTAATAAGATGACTGATTGGCTGAAGAGTTTTCACACCTGGGTATCCCAAAAACCTGCATAAACTCTGGTCCTTTGCAGATAAAATTGCCCACCCTTGGTCTAGACTGCTGTTGTCTCCGGAGATGCATTGGAATTGGCATATTCTTCCCATGTGTGAATTCTGTTTAACATTTCATAACAAGTGATTTAGGTAACTTTAAATAATTCTAGCATGTGTCCATGTGCATAGTTTACTGTGGACTACTTTTTCATTTATAGTGTATGCTTCATGGAAGTGATTATTTAAAATGGGCTTTGACTTGGGGGTGGGGCAGGGGTTAGCACTGCTGCTTCACAGCAAGAAGGTCCTGGGTTTGGTGCTGGGTCCTGTCTGTGTGGAGTTTGCACACTTTCACCAGGGGCTCCAGTTTTCTCCCACAGTCCAAAAAGTGTGCAGGATAGCTTGATTGGTGAGTCTAAATTGACCCTGTGAGTGTGTGTGTGCACCTTGCAGTGTGTTGGCAATTGCCCAGGATTGGTTCCTGCCTGCGCCCATTGTTCCCAGGATAGGTTCCAGTCCCCCCCATGACCCCAGTTGGGATTAAGTTTCAGAAAATGGATAAACTTTGATTTGTTCAGCCTAATGTTATACATTCTGTTCTTTTTTAGGTGCAGTATTTATTTTGCAACCTTACATCTAGTATTGCTATTCTTGTGTCAACTTAGTGACAAATTTCTTTTCTTCTCAAAATCAAGTAAATTGTGTAAGACCTGCTTCCCTCCGATTCTGAAGTAGGCTGACGAGGGGGGCATCCCGTAAATATAAAGACGCTGTTTATAGAAATGACTGCCGACTTTTAGTTTTCAGTAGCTTAAGCTGACAGCACATTTGCATGTGTTGTTTCATATCAACACCAATAAAATTATGTGGAAAGTGTTGAATTTTTGTTCTTTTTTGAGTTTTGGTCTGCAAGTCTTGTTCAGGTTATTATTCTATTATCATTTATTAACATTTTATTAAAACACAGTTCATTTCAAGATCTTTTGAAATGCAGAAATTAAGAACAAAATCAAAAACCAGAAGTCAGACAGGAAACTCTCACCAGTGCTGTAAATAAATTAGTCCCCCATCGACTGACTTTAACATCTCAGACTCTGGTTTTGGATTGAAGGAAAGGCTTCTATGCAATTTTATCAGAAGGCCTAACATAGTACAGCCCTGGGGAAACTGCAAAGTGCAGAGTGGCTCACCTGAGCCATTTCATCGTGAATTATACATAAAATAATGGGATATGCGCCATGCCAGAAAAGGCTTGGATATGAAAATGGCATTCATTTAGTTTGATGCAACTCTGAAGTAAAATATGTCAATAAAAGAGGAGCAAAAAATGTGAATCAAGTGAGCTGGAGAAAAAAGACGCTAACTTTTGTATTTGTGCTGTTAGCATGTACATAGAGGTGATTCTGTTTGAAAAACTGTGTTACAGTACAATGAAGTATGTCTGGGGGGTGGCATGGTGGCGCAGTGATTAGCACTGTTGCCTCACACCTCTTGGATCAGGGTTTGAATGTCTGCCATTATTACATTTATTTTTTATATATTACCATTATTACATTATTATTGTTACTGAGTAAACAGAGTGTTGGTGACTTTTACACTCTATGTGCCTCAACATTCGGTGACCCTACTCTCTTACTTCACTTAGTTTCTTTTGTTCCTAAACATTTCCACTTTCCAATACCATTTACAATTTACTGTGGAATATCAAGCAGGGAAGAAATTTCATAGCTAGGTGCTTGATTTTATGCACCTGTGGCAATAGGTCTGAACGAAAGGAAGGTTATTAGGACCCCTTGTGGTCATTTTTTGCCAATGCATGAAAGATTAATTGTTTTTATAGCAAGCATGAGAAGGATGACAGAATTTTGAAAATTTTTTGCTAGTTTAAGAAGTCATATCTTTGGTTTATTTTTTGTTTTCATTTCAAGCCCTTAACTGTCTGGTAAACTATTCCATTCATTATGCTTACTGCTGCATCCCAATTCTCTTTTTTTCACATTCTTCAGGATGTTCCTTCATCCTAATAAAGTGCTACATTCGGTTATGTTCTACTTTGCACGGTCAGCTTAAACTGAGTATGTGCACTGGGATAGGTTGACAAGATTACTAAGGCCTTGTCATTCACGAGTATGGGAGTTATTCTTAAAGAAATTTCGCCTGAACACATATCCACATTAAAGCCTTATTATGAGAAAATTTAACAAGGCTGCTCAGTCACTTGGCATCAACTGGTAGAAATTAAATTACAGATAAGCTGAAGTGCTAAAAAAGTACTATAAAACATAGGGATCTAGTTTAACATTTTTTCTTTTTGTACATTCTACATGATACCTCAGAATGTCCCTCACATCTAAGCCTCTACCTGGGAGCATTATTTGTTAAGGGAAAATTCTATATCAAAACATGTTACCCTGGATATAATAAGAATATGTCAAAATATGCTTCCTACACATTTGTAGTGCACATGTAGTCAGAATTGATCTAATTTAAAGTCCAGTTTGCACTGGGAGCATTGTTTGATAAGGAATAGAATTTGTCAAAATATGCTACCCTTGATGTAATGAGAAAATCTAAATATGCTCACCACACTCCTAGAGTGCTTAGGCAGCCAGAAAGAGTGCAATTTAAGCTTATGTTTGACAATTGAAATAGGCCATCCCATTTCGTGTTAGCT